GAACTGCAGGTTCACTCACCTGGCGGTTAACCTCACAGAGGCCGCGGAGCGTCAAATAAGTGAGCTTATAGTGCACCATACCACAACAAGGTCTGAATACAAGACTGGTAACAAGTCGTGATTTATGTTCCATAATCAGAGAACTTTTCGCGATCAAATAGAAAATTGGGCACAGACTTTCTTAGGCAATTCTGACTACGACAACTATTGAGAAAGCAAAATTCAAAAAAATATCCTGCCTACAAAAGAATCACGATGGCTCATTTGGTTCGCCTCATATCTCAAGTTGAGAGGGTTTTCATATCCTTCCCCATTTTCCCTCGATTAAAGCGGTAGATAAAGGAATCGTTTGAAGGAGCAGAATGAAGATTAGTTTGAAAAAGTCGGAGGCATGACATAGACAGGTACTACAGATCTACGAAATTTGAATCGAAGTTGTGTTAGCTATCTGCGTTGAACAGCTGCAGGTAGAACAAAACGACGTAGAGATAGTCATTTAGGTTGTGGGTCACGTGGAAAACTGGTTAACTTCGGGAAGACACACCCAGATGTTTCTCAATTGTTCTTTGGAGCTATCAGCACGTCTTTGAAGTTTTTGAACAATCTTGATTGCGAACACGCAGAAAGGTCTTACAGAATTCTGTTTCTCAGAGAATTATTCTAAAAGATTCGACACTGTTACAAAAATGTGAGGAAAAAGATTTTGAAACTTCTTGATCACCGCGGTTCCCTTGCTCCATATAGGTAGTTCATAACAAAGGAGCATTTTCAAGTTTAATATTGTTGCGTAAGCGGCAACTTTATAAGAAAATAGAACAGGATTACAAGTGTTCATTGCTTGACTTCAAGTACATAATTGATGGGCCACAACAAGTTCCAAAACAGTTTTGTAAAAAGAGACAAATGGAATAGCCGTGACCGTGTGCGATTCGGTAAATCAAGGTCGTCAAGAATACGAACAAAAGTGCTGACTTTATATTCTACACCCATGCAAAATTTGCGAACTGTCAAAAAAAGCAAGACCAATCACCTTAGTAGAGATAAGGAGAACTCATACTTCGCTGGGAAAAAGTATCTGATAATTCTTTGTTGTCGTCTGCTTTTGCAATTGGAGAGACTTCCGAAGCACCAGTCGCTGCAGCCGATTCTTTTGAAAGCGAAGCCATGTCTATCCAGTCAGAACTGTAATAGAATGAGGAATTCAATAAGGAACTCATGGTTTACAATTGGAAGCATTGGTGTTGAGTAGGATCAACACTCACTCGATGTGAATAATACTTTCAATTTCATTTTTTCTTATTCACACAATAAATGGATTGTAAGTATGTACATATCGAAATTTACAGTAGACTGAAGGGGCATAGACCCTGTTTTTGCCATCAATGAGAATCCCATCGCGAGAAAAAGCAGATAAGTCGGGAAAAAACCTTCCCGCCATTCAGAAACCTAGTTTTTAATGTCAAAAAAATAACCTTTACCTCTTCTTAAAGGTTTCTCTTGTTGATTTTCTTTATCATCCTAACCTTCTTATCATGGATTTTCAATCTAAACTATTATCTTCGGTTCTCTGTTTAAGAGGCACTCTTTTGCATCCATGTGAATACACCCTTCTGACCAGTTGTTCGGATCGCATGAGCTCTTAGCGCGGATCATTGTGTCGGAGTTTTCCTTTGACAGATCAGTTTTTTCCTATACTTTACTATTGGTTGATATCAATTTTACCATTGGTCTTTTAGGAGAGGAATAAACACAGCAAAGCTTCACATTAGTCCAATCAGAGGAACCTAAGTTTCTATTTTAAAGACAGTAAAAGTAAAGTCAGTAAAAGTTTAAAAGTCATCTGTGTCCACTCACTCTCTATGAATGTTGAATTTCTACAGAAGCAATGTCAATAAGTTGTGTCGTCTTCAAGTTTGATTTAAGAAGTCTTTGAACGCCCCTCGCTAACTAATTACGCAATTTCACAGTTTCAACAGGACATTGCCTGACGTCAGGCTAAATTAGGCACCTTAGGAGAAGTCAACAAAAACCTTTCAACCATGTGGGTGAAAGCTTTGTATCTTACTGCTAACTTTAAAACATTACTGTCCACTATAGAGGCACATTCCTCTGCTATCAAAAGCTTGCAAGGTATTCCCTGAGTCCAAATTTAAAAAAAGCACGGTCCATTCTTTCTTCCCATCTCACGGAAGTCTAGTACATTAAATTTATTTAATCCGCGCGGAAATTAAACCTCTGAAACAGGTAATTGTCGAATTTTCCGTTCAAAAAAACTTTTTGTTGAAGATTCAACTTCTCACTGTCACCTATTTCATTTATTGGTAACTTCAACCCTATTAATAAGGAAATGCAGGCAGCACAACGACCATGCAGACTTCACCCTAATTAAGGTAGCTCCGCACCTAGGTGCGTGGAGGACTTAATTAGGCGAGAGCGTACAAATGTTTCCACACCCTGCACTGTCTGCGTGTTCTATTTCGAACTGGCAGGAATGAAGTACTTTTCCAGATAATGAATTGAAAAATTGCTAAATGGCACTCTTACTATTTGTATAATCCATTGATAGAGCCCCAGGTCCATACCAGCTCAGGCTAACTCAGTGCACCTTCCTCTCAAAGTTGCTCAATTAATATCAATCCACTTTATAGAGCCCTCCTGAATTGAACCCAGGAATGAAGGTAGAAGAAGAATATGTTTCGCAATGTTTCTGAACATTTTCACCCTTACATTTGATTGCCAACGCATCTGCCATCTCCGTCACAATGGCATTGTTCCTGATTTAAGGTTACTACGGTATAAGTAGGACCACTGTCCAAGGTTCATCATCTAATTAGCAAAGTCCGTTATGTTCTTCTATATATGTAGTCTGCGCTCTTTTGCTCGTCAACGCCTTCACAATTGAAGCAGCATTTTTTGTAAATTAACACATTATAAACTGGAAATAAACTTGCCTTTTGTTCTGAGAGAAGTGTGTGTAATGAATTGATATCTCAAGAACTCAAAATAGGTCACGGGCCAAATTCAGGATAAAACTACGCCGGAAGTAGCTCGGCCTCCATCCTAATATAGAATATTGGCCGTATACCAAGCCTTTCAGTGAGTTGAAATATATGGATTCCACTAATTGGACCGTCATTAATTGGACCAGACACACATTTATACGATTGATTTTGATTGCTCCACTTTATTCTGTGCCAAAATTCACTGAGTTCTTACATGGATATCAAATGCATGGCGTATTCGGATAAAGATGGTCGTCTTTCATTCTCAAGTATTGTTTATATGGCGACTTTTCCAGCCATGCGTAGACCAAGGAGGCGAAATGTTCTGCTTGGGCCCAAAACACGCAAGGATGTGAATCGAACCGGACTTCTACAACATCGCAAAGACCTGTTCCTTCAAGACATGTGGTATTTGCACACAGTGGTGATTGATGGCGAAGTCAAAAATAAAAAATTATTCGGCAAGCCTAAAATGGCGAAGTTAAAAATAAAAAATTTTAAAATCCAAATTCTGCTACATTGTTTGCGAGGGTCATAGTACTTGCACTCTGCTGAAAACGAAACATGTGCTTGCCAATATAGAACTGAACTTAACGTGAGGAACGGATGATCTATACATAAAGCATTGAAGGCGTTCTATTCCTCTAAACCGTTCGGCTAAGTGAAGAACCAATTTAAAATTCTCAGTATGCCGCTTTTCAGATATAAGGGCCATCCTATGTATCCTATGTACACATATGATTAGAAATTGGTGGTCCGTTCGCAGTAAATCTAACTCTATATAATTGTAGTTTATCTCAGTACACATTTCAGCTCCTTCTGAGCTTAAAATGGAGCATCAAGCCTGAATTGAAATACTTTCGAAGGTGACCTTAAAAATTTGATTGAGTGGATAGCTTGTAATCTGCATTACTTGTTTTGAGGTGATCAAAGTCAACCAATAATACCATTTGATTTTTCCTGCGACTTATCTCGTAGTACATACTGATTCTGTGGAATACGGGACACGTTAAATACTCGGTGAGTCACTAACGATGGCTCGGATGGATTAGCAATGCGCCATGTGAGCGCTTTCATTTTGCGTATATCTGAATAAATCCTACTTATATAATCGACCAAGTGTGTCTGTTGGTGTGTTTGTGTGTGTATGTGCGTGTGTTTGTCCGACCGGAAATTCACAACTCCCGTTCCATTGCAGCTAAAGCATTCAAATTTGAAAGGGAGATAGGAGTCAAGATGGGAACTCTGACGGTGGGTGATTGGAAGTGACAACAATCGATAGAAACTGATAAGGAGCTTTAAAAGCAAAAGCCGCAGGATCTGTAACTCCCTCCGTATTAGCGGTGAAGCCTTGGCACTTCGGCAGGTGGTGTACGAATCGAAGGGACCGTTAGTGATTGGTGACAGGGAATGATAGCAAGTGATGGAAACTGATAAGAAACCATAGAAGGCGAGAGCCACTAAATCTTTAACGCACTTTCTGTTAATAATGAAATCTTGAAATTTTAATAGGCCATGTAGGTTGTGACAGGATCGTAGGTACTCGGTGACGGGATCGAGAACGGTTGGTGCCAGGCCAGGAGCTGAGAAAACTGATAAGGGCTGATAAAAATCCTCGAAAGCGTAGAGCCACTATTTTATTGGCATTAATAGTGGAGCCTTGACAGTTTGGCATGTGACGAATGTGATATGGAGTACGGCGGGGTCGTAGACGACCGATCATAAGGACTCATAACAGCTGATAGCGACTGATAAGAGCACTTACCAACTGAGTTTAACTCCTGTGGTATTTTGTCATATTTATGATTACGGCTATTACATAGACTACGTCCGCTACGCAGCAAGGTTTGAAACTCGGTGGAGGATCAAGGTTACTTTATTTTTCGATATCATTTACGACAAAGCTCATCCGACCGTATCCGAAGCCAATAAATTGAGTTTCTCAACTAATAATGTATCCGGGGAGGAAAGAAGGTCCAGTGATCACGAAATCTTATAATGGTGTTATTATCACTTGAGAACATTGGTGAGTACCACTCAATTCTTTGATTGCCTATCAGTTAAATATTTAATGATTCATAGTTTTCAAGATGAAGAGCAACCGATTGATACTTTCAATCGTTAGCGTAAGCGTGGACATGTGGTACACGCCCTGGCGTGCGTAGCCCCACTGGTTTTCTATAATTCAGAATCTTCGTGATTGGCGTTCATACACTACAAAAAGTTTGACCCACTTGAAAGTGTCAGTCTTACCCTATCAGCTTGTCAGTTAGTGAGACGGTCAAAATTGCCTCACATTCGCGGGAAGATAAATTGTCTTACCTTATCTTGCCAACGAAAATAGGAGAAGTGTAGTGGCATCAGGTCCATAATAATCATCCGAATCGTATTTCTTTGAAAATTCCGTTTAACATGAAAAGTTATAATTCAGAATGAACCTTAATCCCAGTCGGTTCAGTGAGAACCATGTTCTCCACGGAAGAACCCCTTAGGGGTACTCAAAAAACAAAGTTTGAAAGAGATACCCTTCCGAGTTTTCGGTTCAAATTCAGGCCAGATTTACCCATGCAGCCTTCTCAAAAAGTTCTAATTCTGCCGAGAGCGTCAGTTCCTCACCTCACCACACCATGTCGTCTAGCCAGAGCCAGGGATGCCTTCAGTTCTGTAAGAATCTGATTCCTCAGACGAAATCTGTGCTGATGGCCATTAGGGATACTCATGTAACGCTCGGGTCAACTGATGAGCTGATGATCCTTTCAACCACTTTACCCGAATGCCCCATCTGAGAGCATCTCTTGTCAACGCATTCACTTCTGTAAGAAGCATCATCTTCAAGAGGGAATGATCTAGGGGTATTTAAAAAAAACGTGTTGTTAGACTGCAATGAGAAGGGTAGAGAATGAAGAAAGAGCAGGCAGCCAAATTCCGAATTCTGTATACGCAAACATAGTACTATGCCAGTATCGATCAAAGGCACAGTCTCGGAGTATCCGCTTCACTCAATGCTCACTACATTCCGCAGCACTGCCTCAATCGTAATCATAAAGTTTTGCGGACGGACAGACCGACAGGCCGACACACCGATAAACACAAAAACGCACAAACCCACAAACCGACAGAGCGAGTTACTGCTTTAGAAATGAGGGAGATATTGGATCGATACTCGAGTTAGCTACAACAATAGACCAATAAACACCAAATTTATTAAGTACTAACTTTTGAAGAATAATACGATGCAGCGACAATACCAAACAAAACTAAAAGAAAATGTATCATCCTGATGTCTTCTCCATCCATCCTTCATATCTCCATTTGGCGCGCGATCAGAGGTTCACATTCCGATCAATTCTGTGTAGATCTTGACGATGTTTTCGTCTTTTCGGGCTCAGCATGGTCTCCTCCATGAGATGCTGACTCAATGCTCCTCATTTGCCATAACTCCCTTGGGCACTCTCAACACGCGAACGACCCATGGGCTTCATGTCACGAACATTGCAGACTGCTCGATGGTGGTATCCTTATCATTCGGGCATAAATCTTTGAACATTGTGCTCTTGAGTCTCTGGCAATACCAACACTTCCTGAGGCGATACCTGTAGCTTTGCCTTTCCGGACCATCGAGGCAGTGAACGCACCATTTTTTCTGGATTATTATCACGTAACGCATTCTTCCATTACGAAATTGAGGGCAAACATAGGAAAAACAGGGGTACCTACAGCATCACAAAATGCGCAATTCTTGTCAGGAGGAATTCCAAAAGATCCGTCTCGCCTATCTTGATATGGAAAACGTTCAAGTTCTGCTTCCATTCTTCGCAATTTTTCCTGCACATTTTGAATGCGGCTGGCGTTCACCGGCTCATAATACTCGACAATTCGGCTTTTAGGTGCCGGTTCATCGTCCTCGGACCAGTTTCCTCCAGTCCTTTTTTAATCTTTCAGTGGTTCGGCATCATACTCTTTGACGAGCTCCGAATCCTCATAGCCTTCTTCTTCTTTAACCTCACGCACATCATGTTCGACCTTCTGATTAGTTCCCACACTCTGCTTGACGGGCGTTGATGCTATGACCACTGCCACAGTCTTCAAGCTCGACTTGATGGAAGCGATCTCCAAGCCTTGGGACTCGACCTTCATCGTTAACGCGTCCACATCCGAGAGGTGGCTGAGATGCTCTTGCAACGACTCGATTTCCTTCTAAAGCATACTCTGTACTTGGAAAGTCGTGAGACGTTCTGGTTCAGTTAGCCCCTTTTCCTGACGCTGCAACATTGCCCTCATGTCTTCAATCTCGATGTTCAGAAGGTCACACTGGTTTCTAAACAGTTCGATGATCACTCTCGCTCCAAAAGCGCAATCGCGCTTGCGTTCGAGTCAGTCTTGCCGCTGAAAACCAGAGACGTCTCCGCCTGGCGTAGTAGTTGGGTTGTGAGACGCATCTGTTCTGCACGGTGGTTCAGTGGTAGAATGCTTGTCCGCCACGGGGGCGACCCAGCTTCGATTTCCGGCCGATGCACCGTAATGTAGTTCAGTGGTAGTATGAAATATAGATATTGGATCAATACTAGAGTTAGCCACAACAATAGACCGATCAATACCAAGTTTATTAAGCACTAGCTTTTGAAGAATAATACGGTGCAATGACAATACCAACAAAACTAAAAGAGAATGTATCATCCTGATGTTTTCTTTATCCATCCTTTATATCTCCATTTGGCGCGGGATCGCGGGATTCAGTGGATCGCATTCCGATCAATTCCTTGACGATGTTGTCGTCAATCTGATTGGAAACCATCATTTGCTGGCTGATAACATCGGTCTTGATCTAGAGAAGGGAAGAACCTCAGGAAAGCCAAGAGAAGTGGCGTACTGGCAGAGAACAAGCTCCGTCTGATTACCGCCAAGTTTCTCAGCTGCAAGGAACGAATTTCACATTTCAAATGAAACAGTCGAAAGGGTATAGCACTTGGGTAGAGACTGGGGGCTCATAGTAGCATGGGTCAGGCAGTAGAAAACAAGATGAACGCGGCATGCATGACATGAAGAGTGGTATCTTCTGCGATCGGCGTTCCTTCAGGACGTCTAAAAGAGCAGCACAATGGAAAGTGTAAGGCCACGATGCTCGATGCAACGAAAGTTGCTCCGTAGGCAAGCGCCGTAAGGGTCAACCTCATTTAGCGAAGTTGGATAATGTTGAGGTGGGTCCGCGGTTTAATGCGAGCGGAGGTAGTTAGAGGTAATACGAAGGTGGGCATGCCATGAGGATTTCATTGGACTGTTGCGATTCTACTTCAATACATTGAATATTCTGTTTGGACGTCAGAGATTTCTGGCCTTTTTCTTAAAGCTGACGAATCATCTGGTTGAGAAATCTTTTTTATGTTCTGTAGCTAAGCCATAATTACTCGATTCGCAACCGCCCTTTCAGATAATGTCATCATTGAGCATGTATTGCTTATCATTGTCATCAGTTGTTGTATGCAGCAGAAACTGCCATTCAGATTCATCACTTCTTAACATACGAAACATATTTAACCTATCCACTTTCATTTATGTAGAAATGCTAGGAAAACTTTTGTTCGAATTGAAACTCTGAACACTCGGAGAGCATTTTATGTGTAATGTACGGGCTCTTGCGATTACACTAAACTTCAGGACCCATGTAATATTCCTTTCTTTCACGACTACTGTTGAGATGTGATCACGCGTGATTTATAATATTTTGCAATTAAGTTCTTAGTGTGTAAATAAAGTATAAATAAACTCGAATGCACAAAGGCGAAGCAAATGCGAAGTAATTTACTAAGCAACATATTGGCGAAAGCAAAGCGTTTTTCTATATTGAACAAGAAGCCATGAAGTCGCCTTCTCCTTTTCATCTTTCAGTGATTTCCAAAATGCTGGGAACAAACTCTCCGCTAGAAGACAGCTGTCGTTGGTCGTACTCTTTCCAAATCATACATTTGAACATTGCCAAGTTTTGGTAATAGATTGGCTGCTGACTTGCCGCGAACAAGTAGCAATGAAACTAGAAACATAACATTTTACTTAGCATGAACCCACAGGTAGAGTTCAAGCATCAAAAGTTTATGCTAATAAAAATATAGGTACCGGCAATTGCTATACGTTTCCTTCCCTAAAATTTAAACCATGTTATATTGTGTTTTATACTAACAAATTGTGAAATACAAAATTTCCTACTTCGTGGGTTTTTGTCTACACAGCAGAATTATTATCATGACCGATTGTTTCTTCAAGTGTAATCGAGCCCCAATCCTTTTCATTCCTCTGAAATGGATGAACAATTATATATNTAAAAATATAGGTACCGGCATTGCTATACGTTTCCTTCCCTAAAATTTAAACCATGTTATATTGTGTTTTATACTAACAAGTTGTGAAATACAAAATTTCCCACTTCGTGGGTTTTTGACTACACACCAGAATTATTATCATGACCGATTGTTTCTTCAAGTGTAATCGAGCCCCAATCCTTTTCATTCCTCTGAAATGGATGAACAATTATATATAGCTGACTAATATGCCACAACGTAAACCTTATTATAACTTACTTTGAAATGATTCAGTTCACAACTATTCAGTAATGAAATAATTGGAGATCCTTCCCGGACAGAATACTTCCATCCCAATTTTATCGCTAATTCAGTAGATTTGAATCTCTATAACATAAATACGCATATATTATTGAAGTAACACTATAATAGGTTACCTTTATTTCCTTATTAGCCTTTTTATCGCTGAGAAAGAATTTTCCACAAAAATGTCTGGCACCTCCAAATTCTCATCCACACAATATTGACGAATCCTTTTTCTCGAGTGAAACTGCAGAAAGACATACTTCAATACATTTTTTATATTATAGGATAAGTTATTACCAAAGACTTTCTAAGTCGTTCACTTTAACTGTCTTACCACGGAAAACTCTCAATGCACAGTTATTTTTTCTGTTGTCTCCGCTTGAATTTCTTTTCCCTCCATTCAAGATGCCTAACCCAATGGATTCATAACATTGTGGCATCTTAAAAAAACACTTATAATAATATCCATCTCACTATAACTACTATATGGTCTATCTTACCTTACGATGTTTTCCAGAAAGTGTCGTATCATATCTGGAGTGTCTTTGGTCCCTTAATCTGTTCCGGCATTACGCTTCTACTTATTTCTTCTAACTGACCATTCACCTGTTCCTTTTGCCTTCAACACTCAGTATTAAATCAAGGTTTCTAATAATTCGTTATACGTTGTATACCTGTTACTATCCACTAAACCTCTGTATAGACAATATCTTTTTTCAATTGAACACACGTATGGTTTTAAATTATACAGCAGATAGTTATTCGATAAAAGCGATACAGTATAAAACAACACAATAACATACATAAAATATCAAATACTACATGTACTACCAAAGCAATAATACAAAAAGCTAACCTCACTCATGTTGAAATAAAAGCAATTGGGTTTCAGCTACGTGCGAACCCTATAATAGCTTTAATTAGTTTACCATACAGTAATGTACAGTTATCTCATACGACCAATATTAAAAGATAAGATCATATGTTCATCATATCTATAATATATAACATTGACTAATACATACGATAATGGTGTTTTTGCAGCTTAACAACTTACACTCTTATTAGTTTAATTAGGTTAAGCTACTATTAATGTAAGTACAACTTATAAAACCACTGTTTATCTCTATCTATTTACTGAAGCTATTAATCTTTGTGATGAGTTTACTACAAAACAGTGTACAAATTATATATATATAT